TCGTCTGCTTTGTTGCTATAGAAGTGGTGGATGAATACTAATGATAAGCATAAAAAGTTTATTTACACTAGTTGTATATTTCATGTCATTTTTCGTTGATATTCTGTACACCTTGAATGAAGTTACTGTTGGAGAATTTCATGTCTTGTAGTGAACCGCAATGGAAATTCAAAGATGCAGTGAACTCGTTTTACAGATATATCACAGCCAAAATTAACAAGGTTAATAACTAAGGGTAATAGTAAACCTTCACAAACCAAACAGAATCAGTTAACTAAAATACTTAATTTTCAAACTTTTCACCAGAAAACTATATACTTCAAATAAGCCTTGATATGTATTAAGCAGAATAGTTATCAGCCAACCTTTATATATTAGAGGCTGAAATACAGTGTTGACTCAAAGATAGTGAGAAAATTGTTATCCTGCACTGGAGACAGGACTTATTTGGCAAGGAACTGCATGGTTAGTAATGAAGAAGCTAAAATAGTTTGTCAACCATACATTCATAGTGTTTTTAAATAGGTAGAAAGAATGTGAAAACAGAAAGTAATGGTACAATGAGACTAAATGATTAAACCTTTGGGGAAACATAACCCTCATTTATTGCATGTCTTACCTACTTTATAACCTTTTAACTCAATACTTATTTACTTATTTAGGCTCTTTTATCTCTTTTGACTTCATTAATTAATTTATTCATAGTCCTTCTTGACCCAGTACCTAGTTATTACTATAGTGAAATGTGGGTAAAATTCTGCGTTACACACACGAATGAAAAACAACGGAGAAAAGTAAATTAATTTAATTACTCTATATTTATCATTGGTGTTGAGCACACCCACTGTTGAGAATTAGTGGTGTATGTAAATTTCTGATAGATTCAAAATATGTATGAGTAGGATGATCACAAGTAAAGAAGACAATGAAAAACTTTTCTTATCTTATGAACTACAAAAAAAGTTCAAAGGTTCATTGAATTCCAAAGATATTTTTTAATGATATCACTAATACAAATACGTAACAATAAATTGATACAAGCTGTGAATTATACACTAGCAGAAAATGTGAGACTGAAGAGATACACTATTGATAAACATACCTAGACACTCACATGAATGACGAATACAAAGAGCAATATGGTTAAGATTTTATCCATATGCAATGTAAAACAGCACAGTTCAAGTACTGTGGTAAATACTCTAAACATTTAAAGCAAAACATGTATACACTATTTTGGTCAACATCCCAACAACTATAATGGCAACATATCAGCTTTTTGTTGTTGAGAAACTGCCTATAGATTAAAAAAAATAATAACCCCAGAACTTGACTATACGTGAATCACTACTACATTTCAACAATATCATAAAGATAAAACTTTACACGAAATCTCGATGAGCACTATTTACTCAGAAAAACTAAAACTTTTTCAACTATACTAGAATTCTCCTTTTTTTTTCTAAAAATCCCCTCGATTGAAACGGTTTACATAATATAATCATGTATTTAGAGTAAAATAGGGAAATTAAAAAAAACTGAAAGAAGGAATTATTACACTGCCAACATCCGGCATGTTACCATGCAAGCTTTATTTGACAGTGAAGACGTGAAATATTACAATGAAAGAGGAGAATAATTAAAACTACCCTTAAAATTATTCATTTCTCATACTGTGGATGGAATCATGACCATTAACTTCAGTCACGCTATATAAAGCTTACATGACAATATGCCGGATACCAACAGTCAATTATTGCCTATTATCACTTGGCAAGTGTCAGTTGGATTAAATGAAGCGCATAGATATACGGAAATAAATAAAAACGTAGTGACTACTTGGTTAAAACCGGGTAACTATAGATATAAAAACAACTTAAACTCTTTCCACGTAGCACCACAGGTGATTATAAATCATTCATGTCTACAAGCAGACGAATCTGATGCCTTTAATTTATAATAACCTTTGAATAAATAAACGGGGGTTTAGTGGAATAAATACCATAAAGATCAGTTAAGTATAAACAATTAAACAAAAAGAAGTGATTATACCAGCTGTTAAAGAAGCCTCATAGGACCTCACATTCTAATCCACAAGCCACACATATGCACGACAGTCAATCTTGCTGTTAATGTGACAGAGGTCAAACTAGTGATACTGTCCAGCTTAACATGACATATCTAAATTGCTTCAGAATTAAATGTGCATATAGAGTCACAAGGAAATCAAAATATAACCACCAAGTGATACAAAATCATTTTACTGGATAAACATTTTGAACTAATGATCGCACTGGATAAGTCAACAAAATTCATTTTGATATTTTTGGAAAAAAGATTAGAGAAATTATTCAAGAAATCATTGATAGTCATCCATATCAACAGTAAGAAAGAGACAAACAAATAAAAATCAAAACAGTTAACAAAGAAGCATTGACTAGATAAACAAAAAGAAGAGACAGTGAAGAGAATACAACAACATACCCAAAGGAATAAAATATAACACTGATTCGCAGCATACATTTTGTTCAATAAAGCTTATGGTGAAGGAAGAGGAACAAGTATTTAGAGCAGCGGAATAGAGTAGGAGATAGAGAATGGTTCAATTATTACACATAATGAGAAACGACAAAACAAAAAAAAAAGAGAGCCAACAAAGAATTAATTATGATGCAATTGCACTATTCTTCAATTTTCAGAGAACAAAAGCGCCAAAAATACAAATTAACAAGCGTTGTTTAATTAGCTGAAAATTTTAAAGTGATGATTATGTGTATAATTACAATTATACACGCATACAATCTAAACAATGCCTAAGTCAAAGCAGTAAGTAAAGAATGGTCAAAAGAAAAAATTGGCTGCATGGATTATTAGTACTATTAATACTACTAAGTTTGTTTTGCTTTTTCCCAAAAAAACTATTGCATACAATGTGAGTACTATTATTTTTTTTCTTTCTCACACTCATAGAATACAACACAAGTAGTACAATCAATACTATTATCATGTTTCAGAGCTCCAATAACTTGTGTAGACATTTACACACAAAGAAAATGACACAATCTATAATCCAACATATGGATGTATGTTTGTAAGAATAGGTGTTGCAGTGACCCCACCTTATAGTCTATAAAGTAGATACATGCAAGTACATATTTAAAAGAAAATATAACTGAAAATGACTTGAAAAATTGTAGAAAAAAAAAATGTGGAAGAAATTTATCGGATATCTAATAATGGCATAAGCATTTGAAAATGAATGTACGCATTTAGTAAGTGTAACATGATGATAAATCGGAAAAATAAAACAAACATGAACACGAAGAATTAAGTTACTTCTGTTGGGTTTTTTTTTTCTTGCTTTCAATCACTGCACATTATCATCACTCATTACGCTCAGTACAAAACTGAAGGAAAGTATATATATATATATATATATATATATATATATATATATATATATATATATATATATATATATATATATATATATATAACTCTTCCCATTTAAAAAGACCGTGGGTAAAATTCCAATGATTGTCATCATGATATCATCACAATAGGCAAACAAAAGTTGACAAATGTATTAACGTGTTGACAAATGCAAAATGAAAAACAAAAAATGGAAACTGTAGTATGTACGCAAAACACAGTGTACAATAAAACAAAAAGAGAAACAAACAACAAAGGCAGTGAAACAAAAACAGGAAGGAAAAGAAAATTTTTATAACTAATACTTGCAAGAAAAACGCAAATTATAAATACACTCCAAGAATACAAAGATGGTAGGTCATTGAACGTCTGAGAGATAGCAACAAAAGGCGAATTAGAGGACTATAGTTAGACATTATATCAATGACAAATCCAAGTAGAGAAAAGAAAGTAAGAAAGGAGGGCTGGAAAGAATCAATAACAAAAAAAAAATAATTATGATCTCTATAATTACTAAGAGCAACGAGGAGAAATGAACAGAAAATTCGACGCCTGTAAAATAAAAATAATTAATCAGTTTTCAATGCAGGAACAAGTTGTGTCTACACAAAAAATCGATACGGCGGGGGGGAGGGATAATCAAATACAGACACAGACATACATGCACTAAAGATATTATATGTAATATATGCGCATAGTTGAGTACATATATACTCAAAATGTGATTGTCTTAAATCGTAAATGATTAAAAATAATAATGATGAAAGCAAAACAAAACACTTAGTTTATATTATTCGAGATTCATATACACACGAAAGAGAAATGAAGCCGTGCAATATTACAACAACACTGAAGCTGGCAGAAAAAGAAAGGGAGAAAGTAAACAAATGCAATCATGAAAAAATAATGCTCATCAAACAGGTATACGCTTAATTTGTGAAAAATAAACAGCAGCAAAGGTAGAAGAACACTAAGACAGTTCAAAATCTCAAGTGCTACATATGCCAATCATTACTACTGGCTAGATAATACGATTGCTAACTTGATAGGCGTGAAAATCACGATTATAATAATAATGACAATAATAAGAACAATACAGAGAAGATAGCTATGAAAGTGAAGAAAATAGACAATAAAACAAAAAAAAAATAGGAAGAGAGAGGGGGGGCGGAATAATTCAACAAAAGCAAAATAAAATTAAGAGCCTAATTAATTATTAAATCCATAATATATTGCATCATTTTACTGGAGGGTAGTACAGTTGGCAGCAGTTACTATTGGAAGAGATTCAAAGAAAAATACTATGTGTATATAGAAGCAATAAGCAGACAAAATGTGTATAGAATTGAACACATATACACATATGTATATAAACGTGTATTCATATATATGTATATACATATATATGCACAGTGACGAAAAGAGTTCAGAAAGGCAAACTGGCGGCGGCGCATTGAACTGACACAATATTGCTGTTGCCGTATTCTTGGGGAAACACGTTCATTGCGCGACTGACTAGCAGACAGAGAGAATACAATGGTAAGCACCGTTGGGTGGTTGTACGTACATTAGCTCGAGGAGAAATTGGATTTCAAATGAAGAGAAAGCAGGCTAAAAAAAATAAGATACAAAGTTCAAACAACTAAATATAGCCAAAAACAACCAAAATAATAATAATAATAATAAGCTATCTCATTCAAGTATACAGTAAAATAATTAGTCATTAGAATTAATTCACATAGTTATGCTTAGCAGAGGAATCCAAGACGTGTATTTCGTCCTATTTGAGACTCATCAGCTGGATGCACCTGCGCCCTAGCGAGTAACGCTGTTTCTCATTGAGACTCGAACCTCAAACCCATTGCTTCAGACACCAAAGTGTTGTCCACTACGCCATTAAGGCACGAAAGTGATCTCCTGTACAACGGCTAATACTTATTACGGAGAATTACAAGTATATCAACAAATAGTCATGAAAATTTAGAAGTAGTATTCATCATGGACTGACATCAGTTGGAGAACCATTGAAAATCTGGGAGCACTGGACAGCTGTTTCGTCCAACTAGTATGGGACCGCTCAGCAGTACACACTCACGACCCGGCTAGGGATGGGACTCAGGACCTTCAGGTTTCACGGCGAACGCGTTAACCATTTAGTCACCGGGTTGGTTTCCAGTGGTTCACAATTTCCATGATGAATACTACTTCTAAATTAAAAATCCCCATTCATCTCAAAAAGTTATTAAAATTGTTTTCCTTTATCCTGCCGACAGTGAAACTCAATTTGGTCAAAGCTGTTCCTAATCGAAAATATAAGGAAGGCGAATTGTCAAACATAACAGATGAAATGAAAAAAAAACACTCAGCAAGTTAGGTTGCGCCATTCATTCCGGTTACACTACTACATATATATTTTTAATTAAGTTACGTATGATTTGATAAAACGTGTAGTCTTTAATAATTGTATTGCTTATACTAACAACAGCATGGTGTGAAGGGGATGCAACCAATAAAAGTGAAAAAGTTATGACAAAACGGGAAACGAAAGTGTTTAGTGAAATAAATGTTCAGATAGATATTCCTGAATAAACCGAGAGATTTGAGTTTCCACGGTCACATTTTGTTTTCTACACTCAGTTCGTTTACTACCACCTGACTCACAGACTATGTTTAAAAACATAATAGCAAACTGTGCTGAAATATTTTTTTATGCTATATTATCACACTATAGTATGAGTGTACCAAGTAAAGACACAAAGAAAAAAAATGTTTCGAGCATTAGTTTGACTTCATTAAAAGTTAGCCATACTTACACATATATATACGAAAGTAACAGGGTATATATTTGTAGGCCCTATACATATCTAAAACGATTTCAATACAACAAGTATCAGACAAACTCAAGATATAGCCTTGCAAAGAAGTGCATCACCTTAAATTGACATACTTCTCAGTAGCATGCAAAGAACAACTAAATATATAAAAAAAAAACTCATATCAAAGAGTAGAAAAAGACGTGTGGGAGATAAAGAAAACGTCAAGGCATTAGAAGTTGTCAAAGAGTGAGCATATTTGCACCATTATCACCGATTTTCAGCCATGTCACCAAGCGTCTACAACAATTGATTCGCATTACTTTGAAAATCCAAACCAAGTAGTCTACACAAGCCTACATGACTCAGAACAATAGCCAGAGACTTTATAGACTGGAACAATGTCTTGGTCTGGTCACCCTGAGCCTTCTTTCAACCTAATCCAACTTCCCCTAGCATGGCATATCGAGGTGGGCGGTGACTCGGCGTGTACAGCACATGTTCAAGCAATCACAGTCAATGAAGATGTACAATGTCATAGACGAACTGGCCTGTTTTTCGTAGAACCCTTTGCCTACCCTTGATATTACTTACACGGTGATAACAGCGTACGCAGGCGATGCTACAAAGAAGTGTCCGAAAACATGTAATCTCCTCACGACCATATGTCACAGCCGTATAACAGGGCAGAACTGACTGCAGCGCAGTATACTCGTCCTTGGGTAGATAGTCGAATATCTCAGCAACCGGTGTCAGAGATGATGCAAGTTAGCAAAAGTAAAATGGACCTTCCATATCCAGTTCTGATGTATCACTTTAAATTTAACAGGTGTGAAACGCATACCAAACATGGGAAGATTTCTGTTTAAAATAACCATTCAGAAGACCTCAGCTAGTAGGACAATTTCATTTGAGTACTGTGAAACAATCGCATGCCTTTCGGTGAGTAGGTTAGAAGTAACTAAAATCATGTTCACCAATACGACTATAATGAGGCCAAATACGGACAGTGACATAGGGCGTCCCTGAGACAGGTGTAGAAATCCACTAATTCACCGCCAATCACGAATACACAATTATTGTATCCTATCATTACCTTGGAAAAAGGGGAAATATCGCTGTACTGCACTGATTTTACACGGTAGCAATTTGAAACAACTTAGTGCAGAGCTCTACTTAACTTTGTTACTCAACCAACTGTTGTCGATAACAAATAACAAATGAAGAATGGAAAATGTAAGCTACTACTGCATAAAACTATTTTTTTAAAGTGAACATTACCACCAGAATGTTGATGCATTGATCACGTTAGACAAGATTGTATTCTTTTAAATTCAATTGAAGAATTGTATCTTTCACAGCAGCGAAAACAAAACGTATATTCTCTGTGTCTGTAGCACAGGTGAAATGAGAGTAGATTATTTTCTCAGGATCTGGATTCAATTCAACAAACATTTTCAGTATGAAATCACGTGCAGCTTCAGCATCGCGTTGGGGACCTGGAACAGAAGTTGATAATACGATACTAGAACAAATAGTTGAAATCGACTGGTACTAACTGAAAAGCAAACTGAATGATTATAGAGGTTAAGAACAAAAAGCGTTCCGAGACAACGAAACTGTTGCCTTTAACAATCTATAAAGTTAGGTCTAAACTTCAAACTGGGCGAAGTAAAAGGAGCTGTAAAAGACTCAATCAATCAATATCAACATTAGGACAAGGCATTACTGTACAACCGTCCAGGTTGCCACACTTTATATCAGCACATCAGGTAACAAAGTAGGAAGAGATGAAGAAAGAGATAAAAATTGATGAAGACCAAGTAAGAAAGCAATGAAAGAGAGGAAGATAGAATTTGGAAATGCTGAATTCAGAACAGCGGTAGTGTGTAGATACTGCACCACTGACATCGATTTTCAGCCAGATCACCTTAAAGCTGCAAACACTGGTTTCTGTTGTCGCATGGACCCCAACCGGCTAGTCTGTATCTCCCTACATGGCTCAAACCAACAGTCAAAGACTTCATACAGTGATGCCATGTTTTTGTATGGCCGCCCCTAGCCTCTTTCCAGCCTGAACCTACTTCACCTAACTTTGTGCGACGAGGTAGACTGGGACTAGGCATGTGTAGCATATGTCGCAGCTATCTTAGTCAATAAGGGTTCACGGTCATATCAACCAACCTTCCTCTCTCCTCTAAAACTCTACACCTGACTTCTGCATTACTCACATGGTGATACCACGGCACTCGACCTACACTACGAAGGTAATGGTGGTTAAACATTAGAAGACTTTTCATGTCCTCTACCTTCACTGGTCATGTTTCAGCCATAGGTTAGGACAAAACAAACTGCAACACAGTACACTCGACCCGTAATACGCAATCAGATAATGCAGTGGTGCCATAGATGGAATAAGTTGGCGGAAACCAATAGAACCTTTTGCGTCCGTAAAGAGATTTCGTTAAACTGAAAAAGTGGACTGATGCAGAAACATTACAAGTTTTATCAATGTAAAATAATATATTTAAAAATATTACATGAAACATTCCTTTTTTGTTGCCAAGTGAATGTAATGTTTATAAGTGATTGCACAGCTTGAAGATTACACCACAGAGAAGACTGACTCTTCGATTCGTTTCATATATAAATTGGGATTTTTGAATAAAATAAATAGGATCCAGTTTCAGATGGATGGGGACTATGCATTTATTTTGAAGTAAGAAAAGTTGTTCAACTTTTTCATTAAAAAAAAGGATGTGATTGAGAGTCAGAGTGATTTCGCAGAATAATAACATGAAACGTTGAAGTTCCCGATACATACAAAGTATTATCGTATGAACCCTTATGGTAAACAAGTGCATCACAAGCAAAATTTACGTGAAAAATAGCATTCAAGAAAATCTAACAAATATCCCCTACTGTCCATTAATATGAGTAGAAATGTCTACCTAGACAACTGAAGAAAATAATCTGAAAATGATTGCTTGAAGTCGAATTTAGATGCGTGATAAGTTGAATGACATGACCACAAAGTTTAACTTCACAATGGAATTTAATATTAGGTAAGTATGCCGAATGAATGCCAGAAGCACTGACAACAGATGCAGAGACAACAGTATAGGACATGCTCACACCACTATTGCAGAAGGTGTGGAGGGAAGAGAAGGTATCTGGCCATTGATTGGAAGAAGGGTTACCTTGTCAAACTGCCGAAGAAAGGAGACCTCAGTGTTTGCAAGAACTGGCGAGGAATCACTCTCCTGTCCACCCAAAGCAAGCAAAATATTAAGCCGCATCATCCTGGAGAGACTTAAAGATGCACTGGATTCAAAACTACGACCGGAACAAGCAGGCTTCACGAAGTACAAATCATGTGCAGACCAAATTGCAACGCCACTCTACGCATCATCATAGAACAGAGCACAGAATGGCAATCAGCTCTCTGCCTCAACTTCATCGACTTTGAGAAGGCCTTTGACAGCGTCGACCGAGAAGTAATTTGGAAACTGCTTCACTACTACGGAGTGCCGCAAACCTTTATCCGCCTCATTCAACAACTATATGAAGATGCCACATGCCAAGTAATTCACAATGGGAAGCTCAGCTCAGTGATGCTTTTGCAGTGAAGTGAAGACAGGAGTGAAACAAGGTTGCCTACTATCCCCCATGATATTCCTTATTGTGGTGGACTGGATCATGCAGCAAACAGTAGGCAGCGAGAAGAGGGGGATACACTGGACTGCCGAAAAGAACCTAGAAGACTTGGATTTCGCCGATGACTTGTGCCTGATGTCACATAAACTTGAAGATCTGCAGGCAAAAACTAACAAGTTGATAGAAGAGGCAGCGAAGACGAGACTTCAGGTGAATATAGAGAAGACAGAGGTGATGAATATACCGCACCACCACCACCAACAACAACAACAAACTCCAATCACAGTCAACGGAAGAAACTTAAACGAAGTAACCTCCTTCACTTATCTAGGAAGCACTGTTTCAACTACAGGCGGGACGGACGAGGACGTCAAAGTCAGCCAGGATCGGAAAAGCAAGACAGGTGTTCATTAGCCTGAAATCAGTGTGGATATCTTCTGCACTCAGCATGTGGAACAAGATACGGATTTTCAACACCAACCTAGTCAAGTCAGTGCTTCTGTATGGCTCAGAGACTTGGCGCGTCACGAAAGGGATTTCCAATAAACTACAGACATTCATCAACAACTGCTTACGCTGGCTCGATACTGAAGATCAGACGGCCAGAAAGAATAAGCAACAAGGAGCTCTGGGAACGAACTAACCAAGCAGGAAGCTATCACGCAACAAATATGCAGGAGGAAGTGGAGATGGATTGGGCATGCACTGAGAAGGCCGACTGAGGACATCACGCGTCAGGCCAGTCACTCGAGTGGAATCCCCATGGGAAGCGACGAGTTGGACGTCCGAGGGTGACATGGAGAAGGTCGTGCGAGGAGGAAATGAGAGCTTCTGGGCTGTCGTGGAACTAGGTTCAAAAGATCTCAGAGAACAGAGGTCACTGGAGACGTGCTACTGAAGCCCTATGTTCCACTAGGAACCCAAGGGACAAATAATAATAACTAATAATGCCGAATGAATTGCTTTGTCAAAGTAACCTACAGACTTCACCAACACAGAAATACAGTCATTAGTTCTTTTTACTGAGGAAAGTGAAGTGTAAGATACGTTGGTGAATCTTGCTACCATCATATTACTTAATATCAAGAAGGAAATACAATGAGTTTTATGATCAGTAGCTAACAGGAACTGAATGGTAAGCGAATTTCGGTAGGCAAGAAACACTAACTACTATGAAAGCTTAACATCCGTAGATAAGACCACGTGGATAATCATTGAGTCCCTCTTAGTAACACCCAAGTAGGAGAAATGTTTTTCTGAAAGAACACATAAAAATAGGTAACTTTTTTTTAGTTACTATTCTCATTGTGACTTTGAATGACGATGACATGCCAGTCGATATTCTCAATGATGACATAACAATTTTCTTTGCCATCTTATTTCTCATATTACAAAGTCGAGTTGACTGGATATTCGGCGAAAGATAACTTGCAGCTTATAATTTCCTTGTTGAATATATATGTACATGAATGAACCCATCCTATTTTGATATTCATCAATTCATCATTTTCTTCGTACAGCAGTGACTAATAGTTTTGGATAGCCGACTTGTAATCAATCGGTCAAGGTTTCGAACCTCACTCCGACTACAGAGGTTAGGATGACCAGGTAGCATAATCAGCCTTTACATACAAAACGTATGACTCATTAAACAAACTTGCATGTGATTGCTGAGTTACATTCTTTTGCTGTGCTCTAGGTCAACCCATAACACCGGGTGTTTATTTGAAATAAGAAAAGCTTTAAAACTCACGATGAAGATGACAATGTTCCTATTAAACATCATACTATTTAAATCTTTACAGTTTCGCATCCTTTTTTCTTCAACGTGCGTTTCATTTCATAAAACTTGCTAGTGTTCTGATTGGTTCAGGTTACTTTTTAAAGCGGGAATTACCATCTGTCCTCCGAAGTCAGTGTAATCCTGTATGTTGATAGTTTTTACAAATGCATTTTCCGTTCATGATACAATAAATTCAATTTTATTCTTTAAATCACTCGAGTTGAATCCTATCAACCCTAGGGACTAAGAATCGTTACTTATTCTCATGTGTTCGTATATTGTGCAAAGTAAAAAGTGAGATGTTCTTCGATATTTCCTAGTGTACATATTCTCACCAGACTTCATGATACTATCAGTACTAACCTTTAAGAAGATGTGAGACATGTTTGTTGCACTATGATCTCAAACTTCACGTGGTTACATTGAAACGGAATGTCTAGTGAAATTGTATCACTTGTTCACGCACATCTGTTTGATCATTGGCCTAATTAGTCAATTTTCATTTTCAGGACGGATAGTTGTTTTCTCTCTAGGCCAACTGTAAATTACGTCTATATTCACATGCTCATTGATTATTGTCTAGACTGAATGATACTTTCTTATAAAATTATTTGTAGTCATTTGAATGAGTTCGATAATAAGATTTCTACAAACAAATTTGTGAATTCGGCTACTTACGCGTAATGAAGCGAAGAATGACGTGGTATGTCGTCTCATCATTAGTTGAGGGTTAATGACTACCTTCCTCCCATTAACCTAGTCAACGTAGTATTGCAGACTACCGCATTTTTCATTAATAATTATTCGATCTCTCTTTGCCAAAGCATCTTTTGCTTATGTATTCAAGTTTACTGTATGCAATCAATCAATGGTCACCGAAACATACTTGTTGTAGGGTAGTGTAATGTGTTAACTGGTTCGAGGCAAGTTCACTGTTCTTCATCCTACTGATGAACTTGACCAGCTCCGGACATTTCCCATAAGTACTCATCCTTAGACTTCCGAAATGCTAGTGTGCCTCAGTGAATCAAGTCTCTGAGAAACAGTTCATTTCTTGTGGAGCATGCGGTAACTACTATTGTAGTTTACGTTTCGGTTTCTGAGTGGTTTTTCTGTACACATTACTACAAGGTTCAATAGTGTGTTCTGTTGGTGAAAAAATTCGGGAAAAAACTCATTTCTGCCTTTTTTCTTGTGAAACGAATTTTTTAAATGTATGGTTGATTAATTTGAACCGTTTACAAACACGTCTCACATTGAGGTCAAAATTAGACGAAAACCTCTTACTCAAATTAATAGATAGTACCTAGTGTGAGCGAAACGATTATCTTAACATTCACACAACATGGAAACTCGCCTCACATATTTATGAAGTTAGTATTGATGATGCCACCGAGTACGGTGATGAAACGTACACGAATACATATCAAACAAAGGTCAGACAGCCTCAAGCAGTAAGTTCTGTCAGATTACTTTTGCAAAATGATGAATTAAGCTATGGTGTAAGAGGGGAAAAAATAGACCTGCCTTCATAGAGATCACTAATTCAAGAACGAATTTATTCTACTTACCATCGTACTCTGGGAAATAATCAACTAGATGTGAATACAGAACTTTCTCCTCCAGCAGATCTTTCTTATTCAGGAATAAAATAACGGATGATTCCTGAAACCATGGATAGGTTATGATTGTTCTGAAGAGGGCTTTACTTTCTTCCATACGATTCTACACAAGGAAAGATGAAACCAAATTAAATATATAAAAAAATACTATTTTGTCTCAATTGTTCTTTATATATTTAAGTTCATAAAGAGGAATATCTGTATGAAAAAATCCATTCAATGTCTGATCCATATGATTAAGATAAAATGTGAAACATCAGTGAATACCTGGTTTAGTGCGCATATTCCAATGAACCTTTTTATACAGCTTTCAAAATAATGATCGTGTAGAGAATGCCCGTGATTGCCTTTATTTATGGAAGCTATCGCTGTAAAACATTTTCCATCTGAAATATGCACACAGAAGGGTGACTATTCCCGTGCTGTCTAAATTTTGATCTTAATAAGAATAAAATATGAACAGTGATGTAGACCTTAACCACATTGTGGTTGATTTATCAGACGTATAGCATAGTGAAACAATACAATTTGTCGAATAACAGTACGAAAACAAACTGTTGCCCAGTCATATACCTCTAGATAGTTGCTACGTTATCTTGATAGTCAGCATTGTATATCAAAATGGTTCAGAGAGCTATGCGGGTGGGAAATTTAATTCCTTGAGGTGTTATCATACCAGAAAGGTTTGTTGGATAATATACGACGAAAGTAGTCACCACTATATTGTAAGTTGTACATCCATATTTGCACCTGAATGTAGGTAGAAAAACTAGAGCTAAAGACCATTGTGAATGAAACTTGATGATGAAAATACCAAGGTTACTTTTACGAAGCTGACCAGACACCTAACGGAACAGCAAAAGGCTATTCATCCTGAAGAAACCCGGAATCATCCCCAGTCTGCTGCAAAACCAGCGTTGAAGATTATATATAACTCTTAGAAAGATGAGTGGATCTCAGTAGATTATTTTGAATTAATGGATGCACGTGAACTCAACCCTGGAGACTGCGAGCACGATGAAGAAGGGAAGCAAATCAAATGTAGGCTGACAAGCCTACGCGATGACAGCAAAATGGCGTGCGGCAAAAGCCAAAGAGATAGGAAAGGCAGTGGTGATGGGTGACAGTGAGTGGCTATTTAAAATTACCAAGGAAACTGTGGCAAAAACGTCAATGGTTAGCAAGACTGGCGGAGAGGGATAGGTCTACGATTCAATCGCAGGACAGATAACTGAAACGATGGGTGGAACACCCCGAGGAATAGTTCAGCTGACCTCTAGCTACTATACGGTTACCCGCTATCCCATTCAGATGCCGAAAGGAGCACCGAAATACACCCTACAACTCTTGCAGAGGCTGAGCAGGCTGTAAGGAGTCTGTAAAGAAAGTCACCACGACAAAGCGAGCCAGTGCCAAGTTTAGCTCAAACTTATCCAGCTGTTTACTTCTCTGATCTTGTAATCCACAATAATTTACATCAGAATAATCTGTAACTGAAGCATGTTACATTGATCTATAACTATGATAATTCCAGATTACTTGCATCTGATGAGAAGTCGTGAAATGAGATGTTATACTTCAATTTTGTGAATTGTGTCTTTTTTATCCAGTTCAGATTTGGAAGAAGGTTTTTTTCAATTCCCATCATGACTAAAACGAAGAGAATAGATTTCTTGATGTCCTAATATCTAAACCTAAGCTATAGAATACAAATTCGAGTTGAAAAGAATGCGTAATAAGCCATTAAATAACTCGTAACTCAGTAGCTAAGTGCACTTACAAATACCAGACTATGTGCCACAGTTCTCGTGAACGCTAATAATACAAAGCAGTGTAATATACGTCTGATTTATTCCAAGTTGTGTGCATGGCGAAAAAACGCCAGCCCCAATACAACTGCATGAACTATGCTGTATCGCATACACACATGAACTAACCGCCATCGAAGTTAAGCTATAAATGAAATTCTAAGAAAATGATTCCTGAGGATATATTAGTTTAAGATCTTTATCATATAGCAAAAAAAGTTGAACGTAGATTATTTTGACATTATATCACTTACCTCGTTATCAGATTCAACTAAAACTTGATCATACTCTGACAAAGCGACTAGAAACATAATTGACGTTACACTTTCAAAACAGTGAATCCACTTTCGGCGTTCAGAACGTTGACCGCCCACGTCAACCATCCTAAGTGAATGAATAAAAACACGGTTAAGAAATCCTTGTCAACGCATATTTATAACTCAGTATTATCCTAGTGTTAGCAGACATTTTTCACCAGTAGTTTAAGAATTTTAAAAAACCTTTATGCTTTGGAAGGTAAAACTTCAAATTTAAAAACATATTTCGTCAGTATACACACAACTAATCTGTGGTTTAGATTTTAAAAACCCGTAGCGAAACCGAGAAAAATAACGTAACCCTTGAAAAGGATACAGGGGTACTGTTTTCAAGTTTGATGCGACATCAAGACTCCATAAAAACGCACCGACGACAGACAACACTTCTGAGACATCATCTTAGACACACATGTTACGGTCAAAATAATGTACTGGATTTTAACATTGGATCTCTACTACTTGCTTACCATTCAGACACAGAGGGAACACATAATCACATTACGGTAATCTGAGCAAGCAAGAAACAAGTTACGTACAAACGGATAAAATCCACAAATATGTGCAAAATGTAATATAAACCAACTGTACGAAATTTGAATAAGGATACACGTGCAGCGCAAATAACCAAACAAGCGGATAGTCCACTTGTTTTGAAAAGAATGGGAAAGTAACCTAGATCACTTTATAAGCACCTTCTCTTGACAGTATGATATTTAAAAGATTACTAAAAATTAAGGAGAAATGAACTATTATCCCATTCGATCCTGGGATTCTATTAGTAAATAGATATCGAAGACCTAAGAGTTCTTTTTTAAATGTCGATTGGTTATGCGGACACATATTCTTAAATCAGAGGAAAACTATGGAGAAAAAACTATAAAAAACTTACCGAAATATAATTGAATCCAGATCAAACAAGTACTCTACAATACCTGTAGTGGGGACTCGGACTCTTAGAATATCCTGAAGAGTCGGTAAATAGTCTGGCTGAGAAATTCGATCAAGATTATCTAAATAGCTACACGTTAAAGAGGAAAACAAGATGAAAGGCGATAACCGTATGGTAGAAAATAAGTGAACAAAAAAGGGACAACAATCAAACTATTCGTTGAAAGTAAAAATTTCGTATTTGCACAACTGGGTACAAATGAATACCAGTTAACCTATGCAACACACTCGCCAAGCGACACAATATAGTTTCGATTTTTTTTAGTGAATCCAGTGTCAACACTTGGTAATTTTGGTTAAGGCTTATTACCTCCTACAGATAAGAGTTTCAAGTGATTTTTGCAAAATACCAAAAAATATATTTTTTCCCCGAATGCCAAAAACTTGTACGATAGCCTTTCACCAGTTTACAATAAACACAAGTCAGCTCCACTATCCGATGCTATTTTACGACAGAATAGTCACGAAAAACCGGTCAACCTCATTACCATCTTTGATAATGGTTATTTAGGCAGGTAGTTTCCTCTGAGTTGACTGATCCTCGGTCTCACATGACTCTACTAGACAGAAATATTTCAATAATATGGTTACAAGGAAATGAAAACTGGAAGAATAAATAATCGGACATTTGACGCTACTTTGGATCAACCGAACCTCCCTTTGACTGTCGTCAGACATTCGACGATCTTTTGAAACGGTCGTAATAGCTGTTAAGTGGTCATCTGATTTATACAAAAAAAACATTATCTGTACCAACGGCAAAATACAATAAAACACTGATTCAAGCCACCTAAATAAGCTCAAGAACAGCTTTCAAATATGCTGACCCCCAAAAGTCGATTGAATGTAAAAGGAATAACGACTCTAAATAACTGTGAAATAGTGATTTTGGTATCAGTTGAAGCCTGCAGATGAGTTTCAATGCACTTTATCTTTGGTAGGAAGTAAGTACAGCTCATAGTTTACAACATGAATCGATAGTTACTGTGTTACGCATTCACGGTCCATCATTATTTTATCCAACACATTATAACGGTATTCTCTGGTACTTACAGGATTTCAATGGTACAGAGAACTGTAACCCTACAGTATGGTATCAGTAGGCAAATAGAAACAGGTAGATTAAAAATAAACCTCTACCTCTGTGTGAGTCCCAGATTTCAAAGATATACGCATCAACAGGTATGCAGACTCCACAAGATATGCAACTGTTCTATTTTTCATAGATTTCTCAGTAGATTCGCACACCACATTTTAAAAAGCAATCACCAGAAAGCCCTAGGCCTCGTTTTCGTACTTGTCCCCACTCGTCAGCAATATGCATCTGTAATCTCCAGGAAACTCATGTTACTTCAGGGATTCGAACTCACACTGATCAGTGTTTAAGTCAGAGACATCCCAACAATGCTCACCATGCCACGACTAACCTCTTGTAGGACTAGAAGGTTCTAGTCACTGAGTGGCAATCAATGGAGCAGATAAGCGCTCAGTGAATGTACTTTAAAAAGGAGCACATGGCAGCAATTAGACCACAAGTATCGTGAATCAGGGAGAAAAATAGCTGATAGAGACAGTTAAAAGACTCATTCTCAAAAACTTGGAAAGTTGATTTGTAACCATATAAATGAGTTACCGACAGTGAATATCAGTTTTTACACAAAAAAAACTAAAATATTAATACTGGGTGTCATGATCCGAAAATTAACTTACTACTTCGCGGAATCCGTCAACTGATACTCACGACGACGGTCATAACATTCTTTTATTCCAGGATCATCCCATAATGATTTAATTGCTACGACATGCTGAGGCTCCATAGTTGTAACAGTTTCGTAATCAATCTCCCGAATTGCTTCCCCATAGGACTGAAATTATTAAAGTTAACAGTTGTTTGCATGTGTACCGTGGTTTTCATAAATAAAAATCATTTTGAAGACAGTTAAATACTTAAAGGAAGAAAAAATCACTCGTAAGGTTTAAAAAAAACCATTCGCACTAAGCTTAACTTCAATTAGTAGGCGAGTATCAACCACCACTAAAATGCTTTGAAAGGCGCTAAAAATTCAGAAACTGGTAATAGATCTTTTAGCTCATTCGTAGTAAATTAGTTTTCAGTTGCAGCTCTTTATCTATGTGATAACTAGATTAACGATCAAATAAGTTATTCGAGTGCTTAATCAGTGAAGCTGGATACTAATTATTAATTACTACCATACAAAAGGCGAGCATAACAATTATACTATAACTGACTGAATGACGAAATTTACGTGGGACCTCGCATACAAGTGCATCGGTTCAAGTTGTCACACTGCACAGTAGCACACAAAGAACAGATGGATAGAAAAGGATTGATATCAAAATAGATAAAGTAGTGTGAGAGAATAAACAATCTGAAGATAACGGTTAGTGTAAATATTCAAGCTTTATATGTCAAGGAGTGAATACATCAGTGCGATTATGATCGATTTTTAACCACGTCACCAACGGTCCTCAACCACTGATTCTTTTCGTCTCGGGGACCCCAACCAGGTAGTTTTCATCTCCGAAAACGGCTCAGACTAACAGTAAGAGACTCCACCGACTGGTGTCACGTCTTGGTCTGGTCACCCTGAACCCTCTTCCAAACCAATCCAACTTCTTTTAGCATGGCATGTCGAAGTAGGCGGTGACTCGGCATGCATAGTACATGTCCAAGCTATCTCACTCGACGATAACTTCATCAATCGACTTGCTTTTTTGCCCAGCATCTTTTGCTTGACCTCAGCATTACATTGCTCACGCGGTGATTTCACCGAAAGCGACCAATGCTACGAAGATACCTATGGTCAAACATCTGTAACCGCTTCACATCTAATTTTAACGACCGTCTCATAGCCATGTAACAGGACAGAACGAACTGCAGTGCAGTCCATTCGGACTGATGCAGAGAATATCTGATAGATGCACACATGAAGACGTTTGAAGCCTACCTGGTTTGATGTTCCTGAGCTTCACTTCGGTGTTTGTTTGATGATTACATAACCTAGAGTCCTAAATAAGATGTCCATCAAACAGATTACTCTGTAGTCATCACAAGAGGATTTCTCCGCCTTCTTGAAGACTGGGACAACTAATTGTTGAGACCAGTCAAAGAAATAACATCTTATTTACACATGCTAGCTGACACTTTATTTAATTTAATCAACAAACCACGACCACTTTTCTTTTAAGCCTTATGCTTCTCTCAACTACAAGAATTAGGTCTATCTCCGTGCTATGGTTAGAATCCTACTAGATAGCGGGCAACAAAATAGTTGAAAATCAGCAGGAATTTTCCTCAAAGCGGAATGCCAACCACTCAAGTTGTTGAGTTTCCTGATTTTGATGGTTGAGTCGTAAAGTTTTCGGTCTCTTTAGGCACCCACTTTAATATTAGTCAACCTAACCAGTTCTTATAGTAAGAAGTGTGATTAAGTGATGGACGACTGATGAAACGTTTTTCTTGATTGTGCTGCAAACAATTGCACACATTATTCTATCGGCCATTCTTGTAACCCCGTAGTTATTCATTATTTTACTTATTAGTTGGTAAATTGACTCACTATTTGCCCGTTGATTGCTGATTAACCTGAATTCTGGGAATTCTGCGACATTTCTCGCCTCCATCCAACTAACATTCATCAAAGTGTAGCCTAGTTGTTACACTGCAAAATGATCAGTAGAATTCAATCAACATTTAGAACAATCAATGTGCCTAATCCAATCCTACAGGAGGTCAATCGCAGTCCGAATAGTTCAGTGGTAACGTCTCTGACTGCAGCACTGGGTGACGCTGGTTCGAATCTCACGTGAGACATCACTTCGGTTGAGGCTGCAGATATGCCTTGCTGACAAGTGCCAAAAAGCACGAAACCTATGTCCAGGACTTCCTGTTGATCGTTTCCATCTAACTAATATCTGCAAAGTGCATCGCGATACTGAGTCAACCAGCCTGGTGACCACACTACAAAATGATCGATAGAATCCGATCAGCACTTGGGATTAGTTTACCATGAAGTTGGTTACTCTTCAGCAATCATTCAATTCCTTGCTTTTTTTATTCAAGATTTCGGCATTTTCTCAGTCACATTTATGTCTACATGCAGTGAAGTAAGGTATATGTAGCGACGTTTAATAAGTCATTGATCTTCATTTACGGTGAAGATGCCGTCCATTGACTTAAGCATTCGACTTTTAAATATGAGCCCCAGGGTTGAATCCTACCATGCCTACTTTGGTTCGAGCAACCAAGCAGTACAAAAAGTCCCCACACGTGTGTCTTACAGGCTAGCATACGTTCATGCAACATTTTACCATAATTGCTTTCGTAAGCGAGATTTGAGCTACCCTCCTTTTTTCTTGCTTTCTGAGACATAACAGCCTGGAGCGTACTTGTGGACATATGAACTACACCAATCCTAAACTCCTTAATTAATCCTCTCGTAATCCTCTATGTTAGTAATGTACCACAGGACTATCTGTTTGCAGACTTCTACTGACTTACACACTAGCTTAATTTGTTAATGACCCTCAAAATGAAGCAGTCTATTAAGTGACTGTCTAGATGTTGGATCCCTTTCTACATTTAGGACAAACATCACACAACTAATGTTAGTCCTGTTCACATTCGCTTTTGTTTCTAAATGTAAACATACTGAAGAATATCTCTATTAATTGTTCACCCCTTTTCAAAATGACACGTATTTAGATCGTTTCTCCTACCTGTCTTCTAAAATACATAATTCTACATATGCTGAAGAGACCGCTGAGTTGACAACCCGCCGATAATTAAGAGATTTAGGCAGCTTAACGGGATTCTCAAAAATCACTGTAGTTTTAAAGTTATCCAATAAGTAGTTCTAACACTTTCCCACAAATACTATTTTACGAGAGCAGCTGCTTATACACACCTTGACGCCTTTCAAAACCCTTTCGTTGGTATATCAAGGAAATGAGACCATAGACGGGTAACCTAACCAATTCATATAATGTTACTTTCTGCTGTAATTAGCATGCCAGTAGCTAGTATTACAGAGTGGTTCTAATTCAAGGAGAGTAAATAGTTACTCATAGGCGTTTCAATATTCCCCAGGGATATCCGAATTTCATTCCTAATAACTGGAAACAAAATATCTTTCAAAAGAGGGTTTGAGTGGTAACTTCCTTAACGAATACAAGACCAAGATAGCTATAAGGGGAACGAAGTTACTTTTGAGGAGAAAGTAACGTTGACTGTATAAAGCACCAACAATGTCACAATAAGCGCAGGCTGCATTCTGCAACTAAGTGCCACCAAGTATGTTGTCATGTTGAGTATAAAAGGATTAAAAACACTGAAGCTGTACGATTGATCAACCATGTTCCTGTTCTCTCAAATGTATTTGTTAAAACTCATGAAATGACTTAATGACCTAACGTGTTTTCCAGCAATAGTCACTATTACTTTTACTACTGATAATGAACTTCATATCTTGTAAAAAACGAAAGGTTTAAGAAACATTCTAACCTTGTTGGCTGGATTTTCATACGGAATCTTAAGACTTTCCACAGCACGGATCATCGTGAACATGGCCATGTATATATTTTGATAAACAATTTTGATGAAAGTCCTTCTTTCGTCATCTGAATAACCCGCACCATGGATAATCCGCATTTGTTTGATGAAAGTACTTTTGCCAGACTCACCGGTACCTAGTGAAAATATGAAAAAGAAAATTTAAAAAGGTAGGTGAGTTGTGTTAGTAAACTACAAAAGAACTGCTTTTACTTGCAAAGGTTGGATTAGTTTATTTAATCATTCGATCATTTAGTGTTAACAAGTGATAACGAATAGTGCTTGTGATCTTAACAGTATTTCATCATATAATTCAACGATTTTATTATCAAGGGAAAAAATAGTCCTAGTCTGCGACTCTATCGAAAGTTGTTAATATATAGCAACAGCAGCACGTGAAGCTACTAACCGGCCTACAACAACGAATAACAATCACTTAATCCTTCAAATCACAGTAAGAGAGAAAGGTAACCAGTTGTCGGATATTCACTGTGTTCCGCGATATCAGTAACCGCTGTGTGAACACCAAAGGAACGAGACTGATTTACAGTAGAAAAATGTTGAAAACAGCTTCAAAATGAGACCACTTGATTTTAAGTTGCTTAGATATAACGTTAAAATGTTTCGAAGCGATCAGTAGTAAATAGGTAATATACTGTAAGGTGACCAGGTAGATCCATAAAGTTTACTATCGAAGATCCTATCGCGAGATGGCATCTCCAGTGAAACAACGAGTGAAGTCCCATCGCTGTACACTGAGTCCTACAAATAAACCTAGACGAAAACGCCTAGAAATTTAGGAATTCGTGGGATTTCGCTGAACATCGTTTCGATTCCATTTGAATCTGTTTTAAAGTTAACCACCCAACTTACGCCACCTACAATGCAGGCTAGACTGTACACCAAAAGATGAGTATACTGTGCAGCACACCTCTCTCTCTCTCCTCTGCTGTACGGCTGTGAAAGTCAGGCAGAAGTGGCAATAGTCTATAGTCTCCGACTGTTAGTCTGAACTAAATAGGAAGTTGTAGACTGTTCGCCAGGTCCTCGAAATAATTGGAAACAAAGACTGTGAACGCTGGCTGGCATGACTCGAAATCGACCACGATTGCACAGATGCATGCAGTTTTTCAACTAGAAAATTTTTTACCAACCATGTTTATGTTCCCCCTACTTGAACACTAGCCAATTTTGTCATTCGTTTTCAATCCCATTTTTCTTTGCAGGGTGTTGTGGAGCCTGAACCGATGCCTTTGTGTCATATTTGACACCAACTGTTTGGCTGCTGGTTACTCATTACAACGAAGAACAGATCCCTTGAAAGTTGCGGTTCGACGAAACATGGGTCACTGGTTCATGTGACCAGATTTCAAACTACCATACACCGACTGTCGGGTGACTAAGAACTACCTCAACCTTCAAATAACAGATACAGATAATAAATTAGCACACACTTGGACACGGTTCGGTTGCACTTTGAGGCCAAAAAGACCGCAATTGAAAACTATAGCTAAACCATTGCTGTGGTACCTCAACAATCAATTGCCAGAACGAAAACCCGTCTATCGGTAGCAAATATGAAATACGAAGATATGACTCAACTGTTCAAATCTTAATAGGTTCAACGGAATTTCAGCCCATAACCTACAGACCAGAGTAATGCATAGACCAAAGGAATTCATGGTCGAACTAAATTGTAGATAAATCGTAAGGAATAAGACAGCCGGAAGTAAGCAATGTGGGAGGAAAACAGCCTACGAGCTACCTGGGATGTCACTGATACAGAACGTATGGCAGTTCCAAAGGAAATTCAGACGTGGAACATGTTCATTGTTTTAATATTTGTATTTGAATAAAATATGAAAAAATTTACATCCATAAGGAAACATAAATACCAGAGCAATGAATATCGTCTGCCCAATGCCCACTTTTTTCAAATAAAATCCCAACTTAGTTTGGATATCTACAACATGAAACACCTTTTCATAACCTTCGACAAGACAAGAAAATAAGTTGAGCAAAACAAGTTACGTTTTTTTGAATTGTCGACAATTCATCCTACATAAGGCGTTATTAAATTTAATGCAACATAGTATCAGCGGTTTTTCGAGTTCTTAAAGAGACCTAAATCAGTCATATTTGAAAAAGCTTCCCTTAGGACTACCCATTCAACTTGAAACTGTCAGAATAAGCAGTGGTAGAAGATACATAAGTGGACAAAATCCATCAGTAAAGTAACAACTTAAGTTTCCTCTAGTTGGCTAACTCCAGGGAAACAATTTGCTACACCTATGACAGTGCACTGACTTTCACTAAAACCCCTCATATGACAGTTCATCCAAATCACAATCACAAACCTCTGACGAAGTAGTAATATCAAAATGATATATTCAGTCATTTCGGAATTTCTCGCAAGATAACTTAAACTTCAGTAACTTGATATACACCGTTGTAGACTGCAGCTGTACGACTAGAATTTTAAACGTCGTGGGATGGAATATGCAATAAATCACTGGGCTGAACTACTATTCGACTCAAAATGCTTTTAAAGGCCTTTATTTCATCTACGGAGACTAGTGATTACTAACACCATAAAGAATTAAAAAAACCTCCTGGGTAGCCCTACCAATATGATGACGTTGACCTATCTTTGACACCAACTGAAAGCCAGTAATGCCAAACACCAACAAGATACAAACAACGCATGTCAACCCTGACATTTATTACGAAAAGACGAAATGCACTGATACCACCAGGTCTAGCCAGAAAACGATTGCCAAACACTGTACGATCTTATTGGATAGACAATAGGCATTAGAGTATCCCATACACGCGGTAGGCAGTGTGTTTAGTCGGAAATGCAGCGTACCACATTTACCATGAGGTACTTTACTGACTACGTCTAAAAGTCAGTGCTCCATGCAGAAGCATGCTAACAAATGAATGCACCTCTGGAGTTTGCACTACTGCAAACAATTAGTTTAAAACCATTGACTGCCATTGGGTAGTGAAGATTCAGAATAAACCTGAAGCGCATTTAACATAGCCCAACCTATTTCGAAACAGATTATATCAACAGGCTTAACGTGTAATTGATGCCACTCTAGTCTTTGGTGTAACTAAGAAGCTGAGTACGAATTCGAATTTCAAAAACACCTCTATCACACCAAAGCATTACCATGAACCATGTGGGATACATATGAATGATATGCATTGACTTCAGCTTGTGATGTCAAACCATACGAAAGCTTCGGACAAAATAGCATAGAAACGAACAAAGTGGAACAACATTAGAGCTTCGAAAAACCGAAATATTTGTAAGTTGAGAATGAATAAGACTATGAGATAGAGGTGGTTTGGGAGATGTATTACAATAGAAAAATAAGAAATAGCGTAAAAACTCTAACTCCAGTTTCAGGAACCTACCGAGAAGGAGCAATTTTAGTTCCCGACGCGCATCCTTTTTATCACGCTTCAACTGTTTCTCAATCTCCTTATTAATGCGATTTTGCTCTTTATACTCTTCACTTCTGCAACAAAACATTGAGATTTTATTGGAGGTATGTGTTATGACAGGGAACTGTTTTCCAGAAGAATTTTTCAAAACGCAAACTTAGGCACTGTAATTTAGATATGGAGAGCTGGACGCCCATTATAATCCACAACTATTCAAAGGCGCCATATTGGTGTTCGTAAAAGCCACCAGGTGTTAGTAACTAAAACAAAACCATCACCAATCATATCCTTCTAAGAGCTGGTGGATTGTTTTTTTGTTATTGCCCATCGCACGGTCTTTGGCAGAATTATTAACCTCCCTTCTATACCTTTAATCTAAAATACGCTACTGGAGTAGAACCAACAGATGGGACCTGAATGCTGTCTTCAGGCATAAACTGGAAGGAGCTTAAAATCTTAGCCTCGGGCAGTTCCTTCGCAAATGATTTGCTTTTAATGGTACGAAAACCGGTTTTAGTTCAAAATATAACTTGTGTAACACGATACGATTTGGAAGACAAGTCATCGTTATTAGATTTGGTTTTAACCCACTAATATGAATGCCTTATAGGTCTAGGGCACTTCCCTCCGTTAGCTAACAACGATCACGGGGTACTGGCCTTCATCTTTCAAAGGTATGAGTTTCGTTACGTTACTGCTTGCCCTAGACCTAATGTTTGGCCGGCAGACATTTCAAGTACAAGGGGCTGCGCAGTCGGATTGGACAATGGACAAGGATCCATTGATGCAGATAGCGTGGGATAGGTTTAGAACTATGTTTGAAAGGGGTAAGAATGCCAAATAGGTCCTCACATTGCCCTCCGTGGCTCACTGAAGACACTCAGAAACTACTAAGGTGAATGAAACCCTCATGAGGGTTGGCTATAGAAACCGAACTGGGAACATTTGAGACTGAGTACCGTGAAGTCCGTAATCCTTTCAAAACTTTGATTACACTGTCTCGAATTCCCTACAAGAAGCAGTTTTCAGGCGGTTTCCAAAACTGACTTAACAGACTGTTCTCATTCAGTGCGACCAAGGGAAGTGTGGATATTCCTCTCTGGTAACGGCCTAAAAACTCGACAGTGTGGCAGGATCTACTCTGTACGAAGCTGAACGCCTATGAGGTCACTCTAGTGAAGTCTTCTCTGCAGTTCGTGAAAATGAAGTGCTCAGTACTGGTGTCAGCATTGCCCCATCAGCGGATACTGAGTTCATAACAAGGGAAGCAGTCTTAGTGTCTCATCTTAAACCTCGGAAATCCCCGAGTCTCAGTGGGTTATACCGCAGACCGGTACCTTTGGTACAGGACGTTGTTGCTGGCCCGACCTCCAACCTTTCAATATGTCCCTATCTCAGGGTCATCTCCTTTAAGACTGGAAAGATGCAATAATCGGTTCAGTTTTTAAGGCCAGTGGTCGCCGGTTGGTGGCCAACTATCACCCTCCGAGTTTAATTAGTATAGTTTAGGTTTCATAAAAAGTATTTCCTTACGAAGTACCCAAACATGTAGGGCAGGCAATCTTTTGGCACCGAGCGAACGTGGTTTTCGTATTGGATATTTTTGTGTAACAAACTTCCTCATCATGAGATGCTACAGCCCTTGGTTGCAAGCTGTCAATGGATGACGTGTTTACAGACTTCGGCAAGGTATTCGATAATGTGCCACATGCGAAATTACTAGAAAAGCTCTCCTCTTTTGGATTTGGTGCTGCATTGAAAGCCTGGATTAGGGATGTTTTGTACGATGGAAGGCAAAGAGTGAGAGTTAATGGGACACTGTCTGGGGGGGAAACCTGTAATTAGTGGAGTTTCTCAAGGAGCAATCCCAGGTTCACCACTTTTCTTGTTATATGTCAACTAATCACTGCAAATACTCATCTCTTCGGCGCTGCTATTTGCCGGTGATGTACATATTTGGAAAGTCATCCGTGGTGATGCTGAAAGGTATGCACTTCAGGCGGGTTTATATGAACAGGTAGGCCGGTCCACGAGACGGTGTGTAAATCAACTCTAGTAGGGTTCAACGATGCTCAGTGGTTACAGAAAGTGTCTCCACTATTCGGCTGAGGGTGTACCACTTCTCCTAGTTTTTGAGCTAAAGGATTTAGGTTTCATTATATGTCACGGTTTATAGGTAAGTAAATGAATAAATATTTTCATTCTCACAGTAACTTCATATGAGAGAAGCCAGTCTACAGGATTCATCACATTGATGCACCTTGAAAAATCTACAAGATTTTACGGGACCTGAATGGCACGGAAAGGAAGCCATTAAAACCTATTGAAAACATCAGAAGATTCCACTAGCCATGAAGCGGACAGGGAGATATAACTTTTCGACATATACACAGTATTAAAGTTTAGATCTTTTCGGTGATGTCTTTATCCCCGTAGATGGCACTGAGGCGCCGCAAAACTCCAAATTTGTTTTCAAGCAGTCGACATGTCTGGCTTGTCTTCATACTGCCGCGTCACGCCGGATAAAATTTTAACACCAGTCAGTTCTCGTGAGGTGCAAATCCAGTGACATTTGCTAACCTTCGGTTGTAGATTACAAACTATCTTTACTGCTGTTTCTACAGCAGACTTAATATCATGCCACGTCTCCTCAGGATGAGCATTGCTTTCACGTTCAGACAAATGTTTAGCCAACTCCTTAATGGTTGCTTAAGGTCCCGACTTACTAATCGAGCAAAGATGCGCCTCACTGTCGCCTGTTTTCAGCAGCCAGCAAGGTGTAGACATACACTAGCTAGTACTAGGGTTTTATCCAAACTGGTGCATCAGGGAGGGCGGCAAACCTCCACCGATCCCCTCTAACCGTGGCTTATAGCAATCGTTCGTCACTCCCTGGTGGTCATCTAGTTGCCTTGGAGTATGCAAACGATGTTGTCCTGATAGGTGAAGACGTTGACAAAATGCAGGATCTTCTGAGCACATTGAGCAGAAATCTGAGTATGTTTGGCATGCGTTTTCTACCTGTGAAATGTAGGATTATGCTCCAAGAGTGTTGTGCATCTACTCTCAGTTTAAAGATAGGGAGCGAAGTGGTCGAGTGCTTCCACACACTTGGGAAGTTGCATCAGCCCACACGAACTGGTTGCTGACGAAATCTCAACCCGGAAACAGGCCTGTTTAACATTTGCAAATCTGCGTCGACTCGTGATACATCTGATTACCCATCGATCAAAGGACAGGTATACTGTGCTGTAGTCCGTTCTATCCTGTTATATGATGGTTAAACATGGCTGGTGAAAGTAGAAGACATAAAGCAGTTACAGCGTTTTGATCATAGATATCTTCGTAGCATTGCTCGCGTTTTCGTGTAATCACCGTGTGAGCAATGTTGAGGTCAGTCGGGCGAAGCGTACTAGACAAGGCGATTGATGATGTTGTGAATGTCAGTCCGCTTAGGTTGCTTACTACGCACGCCGAAACACCGCCTACCTCGATGTGTCATGTTAGGGGAAGTTGGATTAGGTTGAAAGAGATTTCATGGTGGCCAGACCAAGACGTGATACCAGTCCATAAAGTTCCTGACGATTAGCCTCAGCCGTATGCGGATGTTGGAGTCGCCAAGACGGAAAGAATCAGTGTTTGAGGACTCCTGGTGACATGACTGGAAATCGGTTGCAATGGCACAGATACATTCACTCATTGACGTCTTCTAAAGTTTGAATATTTGCAGTAACCGTTATCTTCAAGTAGTTTATTCTCTCACACGACTACTTTATCTACTTTGATATCATTATTTTTCTCTCCACTTGTTTGTATACCACTACTGTGCAGTGTGGCAACTTGAATAGAAACACTTGTGTGCAAGGGTCTATGTTGATTTTGTTATTGTCAGTCCGGTTACAAAATACGAATTACAAAAGAAAACACCTCACGTGCAAAATCATTGACTGCAGAGACCAACATAGAGTATTAGAACCGGCCTTCAATCCAACGAAGGATGACAACACAATAAAACCAACCCACTCTCAACACCTAGGCATAAGAGTTCAAAAACTATCCATTGTCGATACTTAGAAGATATGTTGGATACAGCTGACGAAAGATAATGAGGTGAGTGATCAGCAACCACCACTATGCCATGCTCGAATACACCGTTAAGCAGCATAGTCCCAAACAAGTGGAAAGGTGTATCAGTAATTAGACCGCCCTAGTCTAGCCAGCGATGCCTGCTGAGCTGAATAAATAGTTTTTAACAACTCATGTAATTATGTAGTATGTTGTGTAAAACGTGTTCATACGGGTTAGAAATAACAAACTATCCTTTATCTTACAGATGCTAACAAGAAGCTTCGTGTTTGGTGCTGAGGACAAATGTTTTTGTGTCCACTTATGCATGCAAGATAAGCATTTCTTACTGCTTAGGTAATCCTTCCACTTAATATACTAAAGCTTCTACAACCAAAACCAAGTACTCCACTTTTAATTTACAAAATCAGGACTGACAACAAATTCTGTGGAACAAAACTTTGAGGTCTTTTTAAAGAATATGTCTATCGGTGAGAAATATAAAGTGGATAGTTTTTGTTTGTTATCAGGAACATATACTGTCAAGCCAATTTTCAACCAAATCTGAAGTCTAGAATCACACAACCGAGAAAATTGGAGTGTACAGTTCATCTAAATGCCCTCAGAAATCCTATGCAGTAGGCATTGAGCCACACCTATTATATGAGGGCTAATGATTCTACCTGGCTGCTCAAACCTTGGTGCATGGAGCGGGGCTCCAGTCTATAACACATAGGTTGAAAGTCACCTCCCTAGATCAAAGAGCTACAGCCAGTAAGATAACCAGATGCTTATTTGTTCAAACAGATTCCAGATGTTTATCAGTGCAGTAAAAACACTTGAACCTTTCCGCCGACATCCATCCTTCAGCAGTAAACAAGCAGGAAGCATTGAAGCAGTGTTCAAAGTAACCAGAAACAAACTGCATGAACCCATCACCAAATAGAAGACACACAGGCAACCTCAGAATGTTGAGTTTGGGGGTCTGTGGGGATCTAGCGGACTTCCAAACCGGTATTCATC